GGGGAGGGGGGGGGGGGCTGATATGAGATCTTTAGGGCTTTGCATAATCGATAATCGCTATCTCAACTGAGAGCCCTAGTTCGAACAGACCGTCTAAAAAGAAATACGTCTTTAATACTTGATGTTGGTGGTACTTGAAGATAAGGAGTCCAACCGCTTTGGTCATTACTTGCTAGTCGTAAATTTACATAGACTTTGAGAATTAAAATGCCAGCATATGCATGGAACACATAAGCTGATCACCACAGAAATACCTTTCAACACAGTGGTGATTAGCACTGATCCAAATCATTGTTTCCCATATGTTGTTCTTGCCACCTATTGTGAGCCATCTGTAAAGTATAATTCAGCCGTATTTCCTTTAAATCCATTCGGATCAAGTGATATTTATGGCGCTTCTTTTCAAAACCGTCAAATTTTGATGTGCTCCCCTTGTCATACTTCCTGAGTAAAATTCATCCTTCAGATTATTTACTTATTATTATCTATTGTCATTTTACTTGTATTATCCATTAAAATAGGCCTAATTTTACCTTGGCTAAGTGAAAAAAAAAATCGTGGCAGAGTTAATAGCTTTTAAAATATGAACAAATAAGTGTTTGCAGATCTTTTCTCTGCTAATGGATTGGAAGGGTGCCCTAATTGGATTATGCCCTGACAGCCACCTGTTTGCAGTGCATTTGCGCGATGGATCAAGTCAAGGGGAAACGCATCTTCTTTTATCATGACAAATTTGTTTTTTTTTCATTTTTAAATCGTTGAAATAATTTGCATAGAGAGGCCTTTCATCAAAAAATGCGTAGTTGTTTTAGTGGAATTAGGCTTAACAAAATTTCCCCTTTACTAATGATTAGATTTTCAAATTTTTTGGGTTATTAGAATGGTAAGTTTGTTTGTGACTATTTTTAAGCGTGCTTGCAACTATTTACTATGAAGTGGCACAATAATAAAATGAAGATGTAAATCGTCCACTTCTTAAAAATAAGTATATATAAAAATTAAATTTTCGAAAGGATTTCGTTGATAGTCATCATTGACGTATAGTTTTCATTCATAACTCCACATTTCACTTGTTTGTTTATTTATTTATATCAATTGGCAGGCTTTGTGATAGTCATCACTAGTCCTCTAGTTGGCTTCGGGCTTCACAGAGGGGAGGAACATCCAAGTCTCAAAAAGTCGAGATGGAGAACAGAATAGTGATTCACAGAAATAAGTGAAACGATACAAAGGCGGAGAAAAGGTAAGGTGAGTACTGTGAAGGTGGTGGACTATGACATGCAGTTTGGTCATGGTTGTTTGAAGTCAGAAGTCAACTGCCGGTTTATAGATTTTTTTGCCGTATGAGTATACGTTGCCCAGGGTGTACCACGTGGAGGTAAGTCTATCGCGCAACCCCCTTTCACTTGTCATCGTGCCTATACTGTTCTATGCGGAATGTATGGTCTTTTACTCGTTACCACGCTTGCTTATGCCAAACCAGAGAAGCACTTTGAACCAGTAATCTTGGCCTATAATGGGAGGATCTTTGGAACTTAAGCGCTCTTCTTGTGTTCATTGAGTTAAATTGCGTTCAGACCTGGTTACAATATCTTCTTTGAGGCACATGCCGCGATGCATCAGGTAGCGCTGAAGAAAAATGCGTTTCCGGTTGCAAATGGAGATTTTCCTCTGTTTATTACCTATCACGTGCTTAAAATATTCAGTCCAGTCATGTTCTTAATTTTATTTTGCATTGATTGAATGGCATCACTCGCAGAAATAGCTAATAATCGCCTAGACGCCTGACTTCTTAGATGAAATTGATTTTCAAAACGACGTTGTTTGTCGCCATTTTAGTGTCACCTCTGCACCGCTATGCGTACTAGACATTTGGTCTGATTTGTGGACTTGCTGGGACGGTGATTAACCCTTCATCTTGCACTATCTCGGTAAATTTGCATTTGAGTTCAACAACATGGGCACATCTCTCTTTTGTTGTTATCATTTTGCCTCGCTCTCTGACCGACTCGGTACTCAGGTAAAAATTGAGAGTTGTCGAGAAAGTAGACGGTAATCACAAAGTTAATTGAACATGTCGATGTGGCTTTTAAATGTGCTAATTACTTGCCTTAGTGTGATCCAGTGACACGGAACAATTTCGCATCTAAAATGGGTCAGTAGAAGATTCAATGAATGATTAAAGGAGACAGAGAGCAGCGCCAAGGAATTCGGTGAACCTTGCTTTGTTTGCTTGATTGTAAGAAGTGCTCGTCTACACTGCTTGGTAGTTATTGATCGGTCTTTTGAAATGCCGATTGGCCTTGCCACTTCAATTCAATTTTTCTTCAATTGGTTGAGAAGGCAAATTATCTAGACTGGAATTCAGCAACTAACAGTCTTAACACGTAGGATTTAACAAAAAATCTTTGTCTATATATACACTCGACGTGGATGCTTGCGGATATGTAATTATTTAATAACCTTCTAAGTTATCGTGGAAACTACGAATTTCGGTGAATAATTTTTGTTCAATTTAAAACGGTGATGTTTTCAATAAAAATACATAGTAAGATCGAGGCATAGACCGCCATGGAACATCGCGTCAAACTCCAGATCAAAGATTTCATATGAAGGAGTCAGTCAGAATTGAACTTCATACGTGTTCTTCCCAGTTACGTGTTGTAACGGAAATAATGGCTATTTGACTTGTTTTATTTTGTGAAAAGAAGCTTTCCTCTCTCCCTCTCTCTCTCCCTCCCTCTCTCTCTGTCTCTCTTTTTTTGTTATCATGAGCGATGACTGTTGGGAAAATTTGTTGTGTAGTTCCTGACTAATCTCCCCGGTACACCTCTCTTCCTATAGATGGATAGAAAGGGAAAGCAAATGTTCTTGCCAACTTCATCTTATTTTTTTTTCTAAAATATTAATTAAGGCTCCTGATAATTGAGGGCACTATTTGCAGGTTCATTTTTTGTCGCTTTCTGTGTGATAAAAAACTGTTAAGAAGAAGAAGAAGAAAAAGTGAACTTCGTCAATAGCCGAAAGTAGTCACAAGAGGAAGGAAATGATAGCCCTATGCCAGTGGTACAGTAGTCAATGTGAATGCCTGCCAAGTCAATTGGCACTAAATTGATTCGCATCAGCTCGCGTCCAATGATGTGGATGATCACCGTATCAGTTAATTCTAGTCAATAGATGGGGGGGGGGGGGGGGTGGGCGAATGTGAACTTCTTACAAGATCGGTTCCATGGCATCCTCCTTCTACAGTAATCAAGGACTGTTATTGCTTCTCTTAATAGGCTTCAAAAGCTGCTTTGACAAGTCTACGTTGAACTTAGTGGTGCAATTTCATCGTTGAAAGGGAGATAGATGGGGAAGAGGACATCAATTGAATGAGGTCACATTGTCGTAAGTACACCACCGGACATTAACGAATATCCCACTCAACCCCCCCCCTCCCCTACCGCCCTTCTGTAATTTCAAAATCTTTGTAAAGCGTATTCCTTTAAAGTTCCAAATATCAATATCCATCATATCATCAGGATGGATAGCACTTTAGCGAGTATACAAAGATTACCTCTCTTGAATGAATAATTCGTTCCTCGCTTTCCACCCAAAATAAACAAATTCTTAGCTCCATCTCTTTCTGTTTTTTTTCC